TCACCTGACGGTGGTACACCTTCCTTCCATTCAAAATCCCTTCCAATATGCCTTCGTAGCAAGACTTCGCCAAGTAACATCTGTGCACATCGCAACATACAACCCCATCCTTGATCAGTTTCCGGTCCCGTACCGCCTTCAACGAAAAAAATTACAGAGTTGCTAAGCTAACACAGAAATGCATACAGTAGCACGCTTGTACCAGGAAAACACCTCATTATGAAAACCACTCGAGGATGGACTAGAAACAAATTACATCTCGCTGTCTGAGTAGGCGTGTCACCGAAATACTGGCGGCACCTCACTTGATAGAAGTCTCGAAATAAGTTGCTTTCACTAAAATTTGTAGATTTTCAGCCACGTATTTGAGAAACAGCTCACCCGCGCTGCTTCTATCAAGTGCCGCCCACCTACATTCGGTGACAAGCTTACCCTGTGAGATAAGTTTTGGTCAGTTCCGCTAAATCAATAACTAAGCCCTACGTAAGGGATTACACCCATGTTATAAAAGTTCAGAGCACTCAAAATCATCAAAGAAGCCAAATAGATCTGAATTCGGTTTTGTCTCATTTTGTAACTCACCGATCGGCGCGAAGTTCCTCCTATATGTGAACCAAAAGCGCGAAGTAACGTACTTTTTCAGCGGTTCGAGCCCTAAAGTCGTTTTATAGATAGTTTTTATACACAATACGCTCGTAACTTAGCCAATCCGCGAACCATAATAATGCAAAATATACTTCCAGGATCCTAATCTTCCCACCAACTGGAGTCAATGTTAGCCTAAACTATTTTATCCACAACGAACCGTACCAAATTGCTCCTTTTATAAACAAAGTCTGGCCCAGAAAGTTTACAGAATGACGCGGAAGGATAACGCTAGCCTATTTAGGTAATGCAAGAAACAAAGCGGGCGGTTCTCTGAGGATCCACATCCTCACAACGATCCAGGACCGATGCCAACAAAATGTAGTGCTCAGTGCTTATAAGGGAAGTCTTTCGCGACATGGAAAGTTTTTCAAAATGGTTTTCTGAATGTTGTAGAGGCTCATGTGAGGAACACAGAACCATGGTCCATTTTTCCTGAACGCCCCCAGGAATGTCAAAACAGCGGGGAAGAAATGGTCCAAAGTTCGATCCTCCGTGATGACAAATTTTTGCAATTTATGTTGGCGCCTCCAAATTGCCGCAAAACACGACAATGACATCTATTCTCGACGATGGCGCCATTTGGCGGCAATCTGGGGGCGCCAAACTATATTGCAAAAATTAGTCATCACCGGGATCGGACTCTGGACCAGGGTCAACCCTACGTTGTTACTAGTAACAACGGGGGGTCGTACCTGGTTGAGTTTGTAGGAGGGGGGGTCGTATAGGTTGGGAGTTGGGAGCGCGCGGGAGAAAAATTCGCCGTTTCAGTGCGTAAAAGCGGGTAAAAGTAAGAGTAAAATGGAAATTTGGTGGAAATTTAGGGAGTTTAGGTGAATTTTTACTGTTTCAGAGTAGCTATATACCCCCCCGCTCGACGGCATTTTTGGAGGAAAAAGTGGGCGGAGTTTGGTGGGTTGAGTGGTACCAGAATTAAATACTATAGAGGAATATGGTGGTCGAGGGTCGAAAAGGGGGTCGTACCAAATCCACCTTGGGGGAGGGGGGTCGTAAAAATTTTTTCAAAAGTAACAACGATAGGACCGACCCTGCTCTGGAAACTTCTTTCAAACCATGTTTTGACATTCTTGGAGGCGTTTAGGAGAAATGGTTCACGGTTTTGTATTCCCCGCATGAGTCCCTATGACATTCAAAAGAACAAGCGCTCCATGTTCTGGAGCTCCGTTGTAAGATCCCTAACGTCCTCTAATTCTGGAAGGGTCTTCAAGCGACCTCCTACAGTCAATACCCAATACTCCAGTAATTCAAAACATAGAAAGCGTAGCGCAATATACGGATGCAACTTCTTCGACAGTGCCACAGGAAATGAAATTGAAAGCAAGAAAAATAAATTGATTTACGAGTACCTGCCCTTTTGTTGAACTGCTTTCCGAGTACAACAACTTGATCTGTAGACTCGAAGAGTGTGTTGTCCAGTAATTCCCAGAACGAGGGCTCGAATGTGAGGTACGAGTCCACCATGCCTCCAGCCTCACAGAACGATGGACACCTACGAACAGACCAGTTGGAAACGAACGAAGGAACTCCTCAAGACGCGTTTATGGTTCGCGACTCCAGAGATTGGTATAGTACGCGACAATGAAAAAGATATGTATTGACGGGGAGAATGGTTAACCACCCACGGCCAGATATTGCTGCATAAGAGCCCAGACGTGGCAGTGATAACGATATTACCACGAACTGGGCAACAATACTTTTCAGGGTCTAATACAGTAAAAAAGGGGTGGGGGCACATGGTGCGATAGGTCATATCGGCTAAAGCTATTTTTCGTAGGAAGAAGCTTTGGGAGGGTTTAAAAGTCTAAACGAAATGGTTCACTCACTCCGGGGATATCTCCCCTTCGAAAATTGGATTCTTCATATAGAAACAAATGTTGCACCACGTGCTCCCAATATTTCTGGATGAGACTCCTTTTTAACACACAACTACATAGAGGATACATAATGCATGGTAAATATAATCGCTGAAAAAAACACACACCGTCGTCCCAGTTAGAAATAGACAGCAAAAATTTTATCCAGATAAACAGCTGATAAAGTTTGGCGCTCCTCTTGTGTGCGGCTACGTCGCGTTTGTCTCACTAGAGCGCGTCGGCTTCATTTTCAGAACTATCGGTATAATCTTCCCGGCGACGGATAAGTCCGTAGTTGTCTCCGTTGTAGTAGAATCGCTTTGTGTTCAATTTTTACCATCTCCAATCGCCAAACCTATAATGCATCACTTTTATAACGGCTTGTGAGCTTCAACCATAAAGACTTATGTACCATCTCAGAAGATACGTTTCTTCTTTCCGAAGCGGCTGGTTTTTTTTCCATGGTAGTATGGTAAAAGTTGGCTGGAATACATTAACTATTGCGGCCAATCTGTCGCACGTCGTAATCGTAGAGTTTTCCCTTTGGGCGGCACGGCATGCATCCAACTTATTTGCAGCATAGTAGTGATATTTGAGGGCGATCAAGCTCATGTAATAACTTCCGAATCCCTCCAATTAAGGGAGAGGGAGTGCAGCGCACACCAACAGTTTGCGTCTCCTAGCTTCACCAAATTCAGAGTTTTACCAGCCTTTTTTGCGATCTTGCCGAGTCTGCTGTCAAACAGCTCTGTGTGAATGTTCACTCCATTACAGAACCTCTCCCGTCACATCGCAAGCAAACCTCCGCTTCGAAAGGAAATAAGTTAACACCAGATGTCGTGCTGTAGCTTGTGGTGTAAGTGGCTCCCTCTGCTTCGGTACTTCCGCAATGCAAGAACCACAATCACCAAGACCTTTACAACTGGCAAAAGTTGAATCTATTTTGTTTTGTCTTGTTCTGTTCGTATGTGTTTGTTTTTAGTTTCACTTTCCACATGTTGTTCACAATATGTAATTCAATAAATAAAAAAGTAAGGTCTGTTTCATAGTATGCGGTCCGTGCGGCTCGGACAGGGTGAAAAACGTCAACACGCGCTCTGGCGCACAATGCGTACTTGGCGCGCAGTCGGCGCCTCCCTCGATCGATAATGCTAATTTCGATACATTTTTTCTGTATTTTGACGTTTTGTGTGCCGTTTTGCTTTTCTTGCGGTTGTTTAGCCCAAAACTTTTCCTTTTTGTATGGATTACTGCTTTTGCTCACTAATGAACCCACTTGGTGCTTATTGCCACTTTCAAACACAGTGTATGAACCTAACCATTCTAGGACAGTTGAAAAGCAATGATTCACACAAAAAAGGAAAAAAGGTTCTCGCCAAAAAACACGAAAAAGCAAAACGGCACACAAAACGTCAAAATACAGAAAAAATGTATCGAAATTAGCATTATCGATCGAGGGAGGCGCCGACTGCGCGCCAAGTGCGCATTGTGCGCGGAGCGCGACGTAAGCAAACCAGCCCCAGCCTTTTGGCACATCGGCTGGGACCGTATGCTGAATGTTGGGGAGGGGATGGTGTCCCCCGGTGGACGGACAACTTCAACGCGGTCCTTAGAACCGCCACAATTTGGCGCTTACCTTAGAACTAAGCCTTAAAGAGAGGACGGGTCCGTCCCCTCTCCTAGGCTTAGTCCAAGGGTGAGCAGACCGGTCCTTCTGGCGAAGCTACTGGACCAGCTGCACCACTTGCGTCAGTACTCTCCTATCGTACCAACCGAGTTGAAGTAAACCGTCGACCGTTGGGGACCCCATCCCCTCCCCAACATTCAGCATACGGTCCCAGCCGATGTGCCAAAAGGGCTGGTTTGCTTACGTCGCGTTTTTCATCCTTCCGAGCCGGTCCGTACGGACGGCGCGGACGGCACGGACCGCTCGACCGCAGACCAGAGAAGCAGCCTAAGGTTAAATGGGTCTATTCCAGTTAGGGGGGGGGCATCATGATGCAGTTTTTCCAGAAAGCTAGGGTAACTCCGAGCCAGGGGGAGTGTAGCCAGTCTAGGGGGGGGGGGGTGAGGGCAGTCACTTGACATGCGTGAAAAGCTGGAATGTTCGAGTTCACATTAGTTCGCCGAGAAACTGCATCATGATGCCCCCCCCCCCTAACTGGAATAGACCCGGTTCAATTTTTCCTCCGCACATAGTGTATCTCCCACATGGCATTGGGTGTGGTTCACTAGGACAGAAAGCGACTTTTTCGCGTTTCCGCAGCGCGAAACATTTTCCGCTGCGGGAACCTCAGGTCCACCGCTGATCATCAGTGGACCCGAGGTTCCCGCAGCGAATCATCAGTGGACCCGAGATTCCCGCAACGAACAATGTTTCGCGCTGCGAAACGCGAAAAAGTCGCTTTCTGTCTAGTGAACCACACCCGTGCAGACCACGCATCACAAGTGATGACGGCCTCTGCAAAATGTAGATGTTTCTCGCCAGTGAAATGATATTTTGTTGCTGTTGTATTCTATCAGTTGTCACTAATTATCACTACCATTTACCAACTATCAGCTATCGCTATGAATCACTGGTGACTTGGTCTAATTGGAAGCCCTCGGCTACACTCTCTGTGGGTCACCATTCCCCCTGCTTCGTGAAGGGTGCCAAAGCCGCTTCCCTGTCCACTACCCCCTCCCTACTCAGGGTAGTCTGTCGATTCTCGGGACATAGTAGTGGGCACCATTCCCCAAGTCCATAACATTTAGCGCCTATTGTATTCGAAAAAATCGGCTTGCACACCCAATTGGCAGTGCACCGAAGGAGACTCTATGATGGGTTCAAGTTGGAGATTAGTTGGCCCTATATTACTGTAAATTACTTATTGGTTCAAGCCTCACCACTGTTTTTATTAATTCTAAAATTGCTCACGTTATGCGCTTTCATAGTCGGTTGTAACAGCTGCTGTTTTACGCTAATTTAAAAACTTGCTAAGGTATTTTTTCCCTTTAGAAAATGATGAAATGGGAGCTTCATTCTGGTGTGTACTGTGCTATTGTTGATGGTTCTTTGATGGAAATCGGAGAAAAATTCACGGACGAAGAACTTCTTCCGTTTCTTCCACTTCTTGCAAGCTGCCTTACTCATCCATCTCCCAGTGCTTCGGCAAGTTTGCTTAGCGTTTAGTTACTTCACATAGCAGTGACGTTCAAAAGAAAACATTAATGTATCGTTTCAGAAGATATTTCTCTCAAACATTTGCTCTCTCGCAATAAAAAGTGGACTCATGCCTTATCTTACACTGGATTACACCAATCTTGAAAACGACATTATTTTCCTGTCGAAAACAGGAGGGAGTGATGGTTTTGCAAATCTTGATCCGACCCAGAAGCTTACAACATTGTGTCATGCTCTTCAAAAAGGTACGTAAGCAGCTGCTCTAATTTAGTCGCAATTGCCTTTCCAGCTCGATTATGGCCCCATAAATTCCTCTGAAGCCTCCGCAGCTCACCATTAAAGATTCACAGTCGTGAAAAAAGAATACCGAATCCGATCGGAATTTTCCAAGTCTGAAGATTTATAAATTTCGATCTTTCCGTTCTCGCTGGAGAATCTGGATTATCAGTTTCTCTAACGTGTGGAATGGGGAGATGGACCCTCCCCCTCTCCACAAGTTAGAGTAATTTATACACTTGTAAAATTGATAGAATGGCGAAATTCTGTTCAAGTAATGAAAGTCGTTGTATGGGTTCCAAGGCGTGTACTGATCAGGAAGTAGAGGCGAATAACTAGAGAATTTAGGGCATTCGCTGCACAAAAAACAAAAATGTGTAGGATAAAAAAGACCCGAAAGCAACGGTCATTTGTGTCTTCCTCATTGATGATTCTGTCTTCCGAACCTTGAACTTCCGAACAGAGTGGTAACTTTTCTACTAATCGTCCCATTTAGATGATTCCTCGAACCCAGAAGAGTGGCTGCTGCCGTGTTTATGTGAAGAAAATATCGAAGAGCTAGGGTGGCTTTTATCTCTGATACTTCTTCATATGCCTAGTATTATTTCCATTGAGGAGTTAGCATCGAAGTTGCTCTGCCTGAAAGATGGATCCGATCTTCTGACGCAGGTTTATAGTAATCTTAATCACGTTGTTTTCTCTTTGCCTTCTCTCATTGTTGTTCGGAATTCTTGTGCAGGTTGTGGCGAACGTGTCCGAAATGTATCTACCGCTGGTCACGCATTTGTTCGACATGGCTCCTGCTGATCAAGTTGTCTCTGCTGCTCGTCTGACAACTATTACTAACGTTCGTAATCTTTTATTTTAGTTATTAGACCTTCTAGTCACTCTTAGTTGTTGTATCCTTCCAAATTCAGCTTGTCGCACTCAATCCGCCACTATCGCACTCGATTCTTGACAGGATGGCGGAAATGCGCAAGGAATGCATGTTCGCTACTCGAGTCGTGTGTGAGAGGCTTGACGATAAAGCGGTAACTTCCTTTCTGTACGCATTGATCAATTTTAGAACTAAGTTAGTTCTCGACGATTCTTGAAATATTGAAAGTTCTCTCACGTCACAGTATTTTGAAACGTGACACGATTCAAAGTTCTTGAGGAATTGCTCAATAATTCCTTATCACTGAGTTGATAATTATGAGCCTGCGTGATCTGATTTAATACCATGTTTGGTTCGGTTTGTGAGGCAAGGTATGTAGAACTTTCTAGCGTTTCTTGTTGTTTGGAAACATATGTGGAATTGTTGGAGTGGATTACATTTGAGGAACGTTTGTAGATAAAGCGTCGGCTAGGGCCAGTTTCAGAGATAATCATTTGAAAGACAGCCCATTTTCGTAGTTTTGCGTTGGACAGCGACGAATTTGGATTGCAGCTCAATCTTTACTAAACAGCTTGGGCAGGTGAAGGAGTCCGCGATTAGAGGGAAAACACGACTAGTGAGGGCGCTTTCATAGTCGGTCGTCCGATCGTAACGATCGCACAGACGGCCATTTATGAAGAACGCCCAGAGGAAGAACGATCGATCGGTAT